ACACAAGTCGCAAGCCATTGTTTTCCTGGCCAACACCGTCGCTGTGATTTGGCCCTTTACAGCGCACTTCCTCCTGCTGATCCACGTCATTCTATCCCTGATCCTCCTCTCTGTCTACGCAAATTTTAATCTCTGTGAGCGGGGTCTAGCGCAGCTGCCATGTAACTGGCTTTTAATGGTTTCTACAACTACGCTCGTCCTCTCCGACATCGGAGTGTGCGCCTCATTTTTCTCCATTCTACGAACACAAGGAGACTTTCGTTGGTGCCGGCGTTACTTTCAAATGCCCAAGCCCCAGAGGAACAGCGTCACAGCAACTGGCACCTGCTACACGTACCCCATGCATAGGTATTGTCGCCATGCGTTCCGTCGGATGCGACATCCCCAGACCGCAGAGGCGTCGACCTCCACCACCACCGCTGACCAGCCTGATGTATCTAGCTGAGCCCCAGATTATCTGAAAGACCTGGTTTCAAACCCACATTTTCAAGAGATGTTAGTACTCATCTCCAAGCCTTGTAATCTTCTTACCTTGATTATCGACCACAGGTATCATTTACGTTCAGGAGAACAAGCCTCATTCGTCGAGATCGATGGACTTGTCGCAGTGGCTTAAGTTAATCAGGGAAGATCATAGCCGCTGCCACCTTCAGGCCCGGTTCCGAGTGGGAAGAGAAGAAGTGGGACGCCAGGTGAAAGGAATAGTATACTCTGCACAGAGGCAGTGGAGAATAAGTTGGAGAGCGTTAGCAGCTGAATGAGTGCGCGTCCGCACCCGTGAGGGCGGCGTCCCCTAGTGTGAGAGCGTGGGAGTCGTCTAGTGCCTCCAGCGAGGTCGTGTGTGAGTCAGCCTCAAGGAGATGATTGGCCAGACCGGATTGGGGTCGGCAGACAATGGTGCGCACATACTAACAGCCGTCAGAGACTAGAGTTTGATCGCTACTCGTGGAGTTGGGTTACTAAAGACTTGTCTCCGTCTTTAACAAGCGTAGCAAGAATGCTATTACACG